ACGATACACTGCTCGTTTTGATATTAATTTGTTATAGCTTGTGTAGATTAGGATTAACTTGATTAAATAATATACTGTTAATGTTGTTGTTGATCAAATGTTTAAGGTGTTAGACCGTCATGTTTGTGATAAAAGCTTAACACTTTATTAGTCTACTGTTAGCTGCTAACAATACATGTTAGTAATTAATTTTCCTTACTGAAACCTTAGTGATATATCTTATTATGATGCATATATACTTTTAGAAGGGTGTTTTTGTTGTTTTCGCACCTGATCTTCCACGAGAACATAAAAGACCGGTGTCTGAAGATTGAGCTCTTCAGTTAGGGCGTACGTCAGTCTAGTCTAGTCTAGTTGAACATAGTTCGATAGCTAGTAGAGATAGTAGAGGTAGCTTGCTGGTTGAACTAATAATTTTAATTTGTGTAAGTTCTCTTAAGTAACAAATATAGAAATAATTCTTTTATCACCTTGTTCACTGATTGTAGTGCTACAGCTATAGTAGTATTCGGTCGTTGGGACTATTGCACGTGGTACTATAGCAAATCATGTCTCTTAGAGTTAGTAGGAGATGTTCTTTATTAGCGTTAGTGTGTGGACATACTTTGTTACTAGTGGACGGTAACACTCGGCCATCGCAAAGATTTAATATTTAAAATTAATTCTAGCCCTTTATTATTAGTAGATGCTACAAATAATAAATCCAAACAATTCTTATACATAATTAATTGAATCCTTAAGGCGAGCAACATGCCACTTGATTTTAAATTGTATTCAATAATTTTTAGGAATAGTCTACCTTTTGAATTTGATTTTTAATTTAGACTACTTAATATTTAGCAGCAATCAACTGGTCAAGTTCCATGAAAGCCCAAAAAAATAATAACGTTTTTTCCGAAAAATACAGATTAGCGTTTTTGTTGGGAAGATCGAAGAGTTTTTGATTAGTTTTGATCATATTACTTGCTGGAGGCATATCGTTATGATTTATTTTTGTTTTTTCATTGACCAAAAGGTGACTTCTAATTTTTCTAACGAAATGAATTGAATACTTTGACGGATCTGAAGATCTAGTCATTATTAATTACTGTATCTCAATACTAGATTTAGTAGGTATGCTTTAGATCGGACTAGAAATCGAATTAATTGTGGATTCCGTAAGTACATATATTACTAGAACATCAACGCACATTAATATAAGTAACTATGATTCATCTCCTCCATTTAAGATTAGATACATTCTAAACTTAGTTAAGATCAATCTACAATACAACGCCCCTAGTTAGTGACTTGTTCACCGTTTGTCTACCAGGTAATAATTACGTTCCAAAAGGTTATGTAGCAAATGATAGAGTTAATTTTAGATGTTGTCAATGTCACACTATAAACTATCGTGAAAAATAGATGGTCAAAATTTAGTGAATTTAACATTCGTATACAGTGATAGCAATTAAATACTCGCAGGAGAAATCTTTTAATTATAATTCACTACAGCAAATTATTCGTTGAGCTCAATAAGAATTTAATATAGTAACTAAGATCAATAGAGTATAGTATGGTCTTAGTAATTATAAGTTGGATTGATAGCAAATAGTTGGTTATATTTAAATGGCTTTGTGAATAGATCGACCGTAGTCTAACTGTCTGAAAAGTTACTGAGTAAATGTCTACTTCCACGAATGCTATCGTATTAGTTCAGCTGCTGAACTAAGAGCAATTGTTAGAATGTTTGAACGACTGTGATCACTTATAGTATCGATTCTGGTAGATTGACAAATAAATTAATTCTCTAGTATCGTAACGTTAAAGAAACGGCGTCTGAATTTCTATAAATTGTTATAGGATACTAGTTCCCAGAAACTCCGGAAGCAAAGATCACGACTCTTATTCCGATAAAGATTCATGAAAGCTAGAGTATCCAAGCGAAATTAAAGACGCTTTACACAGATCAAATGAGATTAATTAAGGTTCTGTAGACGGTAGTGATAAGAATAAGTTGTAATGCATGAGCAGTAACGGCTAAATTAAAATATATCACAAAATTGGGTAATATTTGTAAAATTGAGGCTTTGGTAACGAGTCAGAGCGACACACCGCATGCCAAAATCTTACATTAAGTTACGTAAAAGTGTTTATGTAAGGTAAGAACTCTGTTATCCTTAAGATTTAGACCTTTCCTTAGAGTTTAGTGTTGAATGGCAGAAGCGAGTATTGACAAGCATCGAAAATGGGCTAAACATGATTTCAGTTGTTTATTAGTCTCCTATAATATCGGATTTCTTGTTGTACATCAAATTAGTTTTATGTTGCTGGCTATGCAAATTTTAATAAGTTTTTGCTTTTCCTATCGTCTCTTAATTGCCTCCGATAACTAATAAAGACGACACTTTCCAGCAAGGATATAAATCCACTCTAAATTTAATGCTATCAGACATAATTCAAAGTCGGCTACAGTATTTCCATCAAGATCGACTTTTAAAGCATTCCACGTTTGCTTTCAATACTATTACGGTATTTTATTCCATTAGATATTTTAAATTAATTGCTTTTACTATGCATTAAATTAATTTCACTGCAATGATAATTAATTTTTAATTAAATAATCATGTTCAGGTCTAAAATTCAAAATAAAGTTTGTTTACTAGGCTTAAACAAAATAATGACGAAACAGCTGCATTTTATTGATATAATAGTGAATATCGCTATAACAACGATATTTAAAAAGACAAGACTTTTACTTTTAAATATCTTCAATAGAAACCTTATCAATTATCAATCCAACAAAGATCTTATCATTAATCGAAAGCAGTTTCGTAATTTTATTAAAAACAGTGTACGTTACAATATGAACGCTTTACGGGTTGCGTTCGTAGGCAAGAAATAAAGCGCAGTAATAGTAATGTTTGATTAAGATCGAGCCACTAATGTATCATACCTTATAACCAGATTATTGAATCTAATCTCTTATAAATTATTTACTTGCGTATGAATAGAGCATTCAAATTTCATTACTACTTCGTTTGCTATGTGCACAAATATGCAATGGCAAATTAGCAGCAAAGTAAACCTAAATTTTTGCCACTTGAAAGGCAATTAAACCATCTTGCCAAATATATGTGCTGACGCCTGATTTACATTACACTTTACAAATTTGAGCAATTTATAATGATAGCTCAAGGAATCTTGAGTTTATGTCTAGGTAGATGGATATTGTTTATTATAGCTAAAGAGAGTTTAAGATTTATTTAAATGAATTTCATTACGTGAGAATAAAGTTAGGATTTTTACGTATAAATTCAGATTTCAGCTTGAATTTTACTATGAACTTTCGAAATATAATTTATTATAACTACAGATTGTCAGCTATTTTTACCGTAGTTTCAGACAATAGACATAGAATTTTCATTCATTTTAACGATTGTTAATCATTATATTGAAAACTAATCTTTAATTTTTTCCAATTAACTTGATTTCAGTGTAACCTAGCAATACAAATATTATCGAATCTAAGACAGATTTAAATGTAGAAAGCATAACAGATATAGACATTGTTTTAAATTTCGATAATGACTTATAAAATAAAGTTTGACGTCAAAAATAGCTGATGCTAAATTAAAAGCATTAATAACTACCGTTTATTTCGTGTTCCTAGATTATTATTAGGCATAGAGAGCACTGAAATATAGGGATAAGAATGGTATAGCAAGAATAGAAATTCAAACTTCAATTTTAAATATAGTACAATAGTAAAATGAAGTAAAATATCTGAACAATAATTATTCCTCGGCTTAATTTTACAAATTCTGTGTTGGTATCCAATTACAAATTTAGCTTCCTAATTCAAACTATACTTAAAAGAAATTTAAATTCTACTCCTTGATATGAATAATTGGAGATGGTTCACGGGATATAAAATTTTTTACAAAAGTTTAGGAGATACAATTTGATACGACAACTCCTGTTTACTTACTAATGAGATGTTTCAGCTTAGTATACTACTTATTATACTAAAAAGGAGCATTGCATCGCACAAGAACAGAATTAATAATTTCTGAAAGCGCTTCAAACGGTGACGCATTATTTGCAAAGCCATTACTATAACATTTTGCAATGTGTCATGGCTGCGATAATAACTTGTATTCATGACAACTACTGACAAGTTATAATTTTTTGGATTTATGATACGATTTAGTCTCGTTATATGTCATGTTATTTAATAACAAATAATGACTTTTACTTATAATTATTGAAATTATTGTTTGGCTCATACTAGAAACGAAAATCAAGTAATTTCGCTAATTTCTATACAATTAATACTTACAATTTATCAGACTGGAGCTAAGATATATTAATACAAGATATTAATCTTCAACCAAAATTCAATTTAAGAAAAAACTTCTAATTCTACAATAATTCGACAACTTAGTTTAAATTTTATTCATGCAAAATTTTCTATTAATATTGTCATCTTGCTTGTTTACTACAATCAATTACCTCTATATCGTTTAAAGCTTCATTTAACATGAAAGCTAACGTCAATATTCAATTCAGAATATATCATCCATTGAGTCATCTAATTCAATATCAAGCGTCAAGGCAGAAACTTTATTTTCAATAGTAGAAAATATTAAGAACAGATTAAATCTTTTAGCTATTATTTAAAATTTTATGGCACTGTTTGCTTTTGAATTGGTGGGAGGACACAAATTTATTAGCAATAAATGTACTAGACATTTGTTGTTTTTAATTGAGACAAAATCTGATTCTTTGATATCATAAATTAATCCAACTGAAGACAAAACTCTCGGGTTGATTTGTACAATATCATATTGATACTGTATTCGTTTTTCATCCATATAAAAAGCATCATTAAGTTGTATTATGTGCAGTTCAAGAAAGTCAACCAAAACTTAAGGAAATTTAAAGATTTTTCAACGTATGATAGTTACGGAATTTAACAACGAAAAGTAATATCTCTCTAAGTTTAAATTTGGATCATTATGAATATCACATTATGTACTAGCAGCCTCTGTAGAAACGCTTCTAGCAATCTTGCTTCACCATTAGGATTCTCAACTGCGACTACTTTAATGATCGGTGGTTCAATTGGAATTATTCCCAACATTATTATCATAGCTGGTATCTACCTAAAATCATCATTGCATAAACCCACTTATTATTTAATTGCTAACTTAGCTGCAAGCGATATTATGCTCGGAATAGGAACAATATTAAATGTCATATTAGCATTAATCGATTATCAAATTGGAATATCTAGAAAGATTCATTTATTATTATGTAAAATAATCGTTATCCTACCAAATACTTGGTCTTATACTGCTTCTATACAAACCTTAGTTATAATTAGCGCCGAACGATATCAAGCTATATTTCGTCCGACCAAAGTATTAACAACCAGAAGAGTAAAATGGTTATGCCTCATAGCATGGGGAATATCATTAATAGTTTCAATTCCTCCTGCTATCGATGCATCAATCAGAAGACCAAAATTGCGATTTTGTATTAATAATGGAAAATACACTTATTGGACAACGGTGATTAACCTTGTCTTATTTATTTTCCAGTTTGCCCTTCCAGCTGTCGTTATGACTGTACTATATTCATTAATACTTCGCCAATTGAGTAGAGGAAGCATCGTTGGACAAATTGAATCAAGAAAAAGTAAAAAGCTTAAACGTAGAACTATCTATATGCTATTAATAACAACATTTACGTTTCTAGCATTAGCAACACCTTGGGCACTAACTTTAGCAATTGTAGCAATTACAGGCAAAATAACCTCACAAATCATTTCAAGCACAAATAATCCAACAATTCGATCGATAATTCGCCTCAGTATATTAATGCTTCCCTTCACAACATTGTATAATCCTGTGATATATTGTATATTTAATAACCAAATTCGGCAGTTATTCATTCCAACTTGTAAATTATTTGCCAGAAGTAAATACTTTGCTGTTCTTCCAGTAGCACAGCAAGACTCTAACAATATGAATAATAAAGATTCAACACCAGTAGTGCTAACAGCTCATTCCCAATCATTATCCAAGCAAGATACTTTAGCAACAATTCCGTGATATATAGATCGAAATTTCGTCTTTCATATTTTTGATCTATTACCTAGCACTGAGTAAAAATTAAGTGCCACGGTATCGCGTTTACAATTTTGCAATGTATCACTTGATCTAAAAAATTCTATGTCTGTATTCTTGTCACTATTATGAATGCGCGATTCATAAGTATCAACATCTACAAAACTAAGGCCGGCGTTTAAGTGTTTAGTTTAACACAGAATACCCATTGATAATGTTCGCTGTATAAATGCTATAATTGGACTTGTTACAAAAATTGACGATAATTAATTTCAGTAGTTATACCTTCCTATAACATGTATTTCCTTTACTTACCCTACTTTTACTATCAATTATGTGAATAGCATTTCTGTCATATATAAAATGTATTTAACTTTAGCAATGAGAAAACACTGTATTACAAGCAGCCTTGAAAGATACAGCAAGAGCAGATTATTAATCATTTAGAATTTAACTGAGGTATTTATTTTATCTATCATTTAAATTTTAAAGTGACAAATAAGTAGTTTCAGCTTTAGTTATTATCTTTACATACTGTTCTTAATTTATTCATGTGCTAAAAATGAACCATTTTAGTGAAATAAAATTCTCATTTTGTTTGTTTGAGCGAATGCGATATAGCCCTACATGCGCTCTGCTATTGGTGCTAAGAATGGATTGTATTAAGTTAATATTATAGTTATCCTCTAATAGCTTCAAATTTTACACTTGTTTATTTGTCCGAGATATCTTAACATTTAGGATTGAAATCGCTCTTAAGCTACAAAAATAACCTAAATCATTGATATTTATTAACTATCACTTCCATTAAAGAAACAAAAATAAACACTGAAAGGTGATTTAAATAATTACTATCACCCATTGATTGTCTACATAATAATTGCAGATAGGAAAAAATTTGACACCAAAGAAGATATAGCAATCAGTAGCTTTATCTTCCTATTATTTTGGATTTATTATTAATCATTGTCACAAAACAGCTTTGCAATAAGATAACGTAATGTACGATCAATAAGTCAATTCCTTGAACCACGTATCAAGGAACGATATCTGCACTATCACGAACACTTTTGCTCTACTAGCAGACTACACAAAGACTTAGACGCCTCGTATTTTACGTTAAACACTAAGTTTGAGAATTCACTTTATTTCACGATATACTGCATTTATATACTATTCCTCAATAGTTTATGAGTCATACAATTAACATTAGAATCATTTACTGAATTAGATATTAATTTTAGCTACTGCTCCCTTAATGCAGACAACAGTATTTACGAATATAGACATGTAATGACTAATACAGAATAGTCAGATTACGATATGTCCTATCACGGAACATTTCCATGATAATTTACAATCTACCATAAGTAAATTACAATCACAATGATTCGAACTGTAAGTAGATGATTTGCATTCCCTATTATAACTATTAATTTCAGTATGAGTATAAGTGTCACTGTCATAAAAAGTCAGTGCTATATTAAAACACAGTATATCCAAAATAGAAGTTAACTAAATAAGAATAAGCTAACAGAATTATCATAACATAGATATTTCTACTCTAATACAGTATATAACACTGTTATAATCATTTAAAAGAATTGAATACCGGCCTTTTTACTAAATCTGAAGATTTGACGCTAATAGTAGTTACTAAGTTTGGGACGCAGCTGGCTTGATATTTATCTACATTTCTACCAGATCTTGATCGACGCTCTAATTTCTTCATATTTTGTTTAAGGGGAAAGAGATGTCTGTATAGAGGAAATAATAATGGCTGACTTCTAGCTGAAAGCTGCGGATACTAAATTGAATGAAATTTTTGTTAACTTTAATTCTAAGATTTAGATAAGTCATGTCACTTTACGTAGTAGTTTCTTCTAAATACACAATATTTAATGTTATAAATTCAGAGAAATTACATCAGTTACGGTTCTAACAGTATTGATAGCATAATCTTAGAACACAGATAAGTTAAAAATTTTCAATATTTCGCCAAAATTTTTAGTTGTTCACCGCATTTGAGTTTCTATAACAGGACATTGAAATTCAAGATGAAATCAGTCCCTAAAGCCTTTTTTGCCCTTGACGGATTTTTATTGTAACTTATACATGATTATAAAAATTACAAATCATGTCAAAATCGCATTAAACATTCGATAGTCTTCATTGAAGCCGCGTTCACTTGCATCTGCCAACAATATCAAAATAGATGAATCGCCGATATTAAAGTGGAAATAATAAACAGATTATATAGTAACATAATTTAGAATTACATCCATCATTGTTCTAATAATTCTACATAAACGACAAAATTTGACTGACTACCGCATCATGCGATAGGATAAGACAAAAGCAACCACGAATATGATTGTCAACGCGAAGTGATTATAAATGCTTTACGAAATTAGCATCTATAATTAATCCCGATGAAGATCTAATTGCAATACAAAGCAAAAGTACCAAAATCGAGACCTGTCGTAAGATTCTAAGGTATGTAAGCAATATCTCTGAAATTTGCTTTGATTGATATATTATTAAAAGAGCTATAATTTAATATTGAAAAATTATGGAATGGAAGTTTGCATGGCTGCAATATTCTCAAGATTTTGTCAAAAGTTAAGCATCAATTAATTTCAATTTAAGCAGAAGATTTTGAATTTAAATGCAAGAATTTTTAATTATTCTAATAACTGTAGAAGCATTGACGACAAAATAATTTATATCGAAACGAAGTAAGACTGCCTGTGTTAGCCATAGCTCATTTATACTGTACAAGATTACTTTAATTTATGCGAAAAAATTTATCGATTATAAATTTTTTTCGCCATTTCATTCAATTCTTTTTATGTACTTGATTCATTCCAAGCCTATTTTTATTTATAAATAGGAAAATGATGTAAAACCCTTTCTTATAGCAAGTAACGAATTTACTATAAGAACGAATTTGGCCATAAAATGTTGACAACTATTAGCGATACTTAGCGTAACTATTGCATGTCATGTCATGTCATTAAACAAAATTATAAATGCGGAACAATCTCAGATGGCAAAAATCTGAAATATACGATGAAAAAATTTCCTTAGCCTCTACTAACCTGCTAAGGTATCTAATGTTTAATTCTAAGTTTATTATGGTCTAGGCTAATAACCATTATGTCAGCATACCACAATGGCAAAAGAAAGCACCATTAACACGTAGCTTCTTCTGAATTAAAGAAGCTTCCATACAAATCGATTATTTCCTGTTTACAGATTGTCAATTACTAATAATAATTTAACGGTTAAATATGATTTAAAGTTCTGAAAACTTCAAAATCAGTCTCGATGCGTAGTTAATATACTTATTTTCTAGGATATTTTATATGGAGAAGCTGAGTTTTCCACGAGGGATCGTCGTTTTCATATTATATGTCCAAAGCAATTTCGTTCCTTCAACACAAATGTATTCATTTTAGTCAATTTAGATCATAGTAAAGGTATATTGACTTCTAATATCGCTATGTAATTAAATGAAAAGTGTAGAAACCAAGCTACTAAACTTCTAACAAACTTTGATTCTGTTTTCTTTGCACTCCGGTCGACTTAACAAAACTTTGACAACAAATAAAATTGGAGAAACAACCGATCAACAATTTATTATGAAAAAGTGAGAGAGTCAGATCAAACAATTTCCAAAGACTTAAATTTAAGTATTATAAGTATACAAATAAAAAACAACGAAAAAACTGAAACTGTCAACAACCAAACAACCTAGCAAAATCAACAACGCTTTAACTTACAACAGTTCGACTCCTATGGCTTTTAAAATTTAACAAGCTCTTCAAAAAAAATCTTCTTTTGCTCTCTAATTTAAATTTTCAGATTGCACTATTATTTAAAGGCTTCGCAGAGAGCCCTCAGTGATACTTAAAATTAAATATTTATCAACCAATCACTTTTAAGATCCATTTTAGAAAATTACTTTGCATCACCTAAGAAAACAAAAATCATTCAAAGCTTAGACACAAATTACCTCATGATTCACTTACAAAACACCATAAACCCATCAAACTAACAATAAAATACTTCAAGCTTCACTTCTAAATAAATTTTCAATCATTATACGTTACAATAGTCTAAAATTAACCTTAAACATCAAGATTTAGTCATAAAAATAACGGTCTAACTACTTAACAATCGCACAATCAACACAACCTCTACTATTTGCAATCTTATCTTCTTTCTTCTCAACTAAACTTCCCTAATGTAGCTTTCATGTCACTTCATAAAATTTCAAAGTTTCAAATTCACAACAAAAAGTTCAAATTTCAAAAGTCAACTCCTATAATATTTTTCAAAAATTAAAATTCAAACATTAAAAAAAATTAAAATTAAAATTATATCGGACATAAATCCGACCGAATCCGGAATCCAAATCCTAAAAATTCGAATTTTATAAAGATCACAGCAAATCGCTTATCAAAAAATTTTATATAACAACTATGACCACTTTTTTGACATTGGTGTTGACAGTTGATGTTTTAGCGTGAAGTTATACGGTAACTGTACGATTATAGCCAACATTACAGTACTTTACTGTCATGTTATAAATACCCTTCCTCTACGGATAGGGTTTTGTTACTAAGTCGAATTCGTTTATAATCTCAATATATTATCAAAGGCCCTTTCTGTAGACTAGGCGATTGCTTTTAAGTTATTCCTATAGTAATCTTTATAATACCTTGTAAATTAATGGAGAAGAAAAGATGGTGACATAAAGATTTGGCAGGGTAAATCTAAAATATACTACCTTTTTCTAGGTATTTTCTGTAATAAATTAAAATAGTTACATACTAAATGCTATAAACGACTGCTTTTAGTCCTTTATTATAGCTACATGTATAATTTCCTTAACGTACTAACTAAGTATTAAGTACAGGCAATAATATTAGTATATCGAACTTGACGAAGTTCTAATTCTGAAATTCAGCTTTAAATCA